TCGCCATGCACACCTCATACTCACTCTATTTGCTATGATGCTGCCTTCGGGTTTACCAGAATTGACGTGTGTGACGGATTGAGAGTATGTGCGAAAGACCCTGGCCGTAGAGACGACGGAAGAGGAGGCGCTTTGCTTCTTTAATGAAAAGTTTGATGAGGCCTACAATGGCGCCTGGACAACAAAGATCGACTGGTTCGCACACTGGATGGGGAGATAAACTTATCCAGCAAAAGGGATTCCTTGCTTGGTGATTTTCAGTGCAATTTATTATTTGTGCATGTTTCTAGAGGTGTCTTTCTTTTTATGTGCCACGTTTGGTCTTAGCTTTTTTTTACTACCCCTCCACAAGATACCAGAGTAGAAATATCTTGCTTATAATCGGGTCTGTCGACCAGTAGGTGCCTTCTTCCGGCTCATCGCAACTGCTAAGTTCAGCAGAACTGTTCTACTCACAGTCGCTGGTTTCGAAAAATAAGGGGATTAGGAATTCAGTAGTAATATGGTACTACGCCACAGTGGGTTGATCTTAGAAGTCCGGTCAGTTAACTTTTGACCAAATAGAGAGTGATGAGTAAGCCTGATCGAGCAGTACGAGAAAGACTGAAACAATAAATCTGGTTTGTCAGTTAATTTGCTGACTGGATCTGGACCATGACGGTGTCGGGGTTTGTACACACGTGACCTGTTTACGTCGCCTGACGGCTGTCGCGTCCGCCGTTGCCTGTAAAGGTTAAAGCGGTGGTTTATAATGACTTGTCGCCCTCGGTATACTACCTGAAATGTTCCCTTTTTATTCACGTTATGACCGTTTCCTATCATAAGCATTGGGATGGAGTAGACTACAAAAACGTCGCAATTATTATCTCAAAACCGTTGTGAAAGCTGGCCGCTCCAATTTTTGCTGCAAAGTCTGTAGGCCCTTTCTCTAGTATATGACAGTTCGACCATCGATTTCGATTATGTACATCGTGTGTCCCACAGCAGGTTGGAGCAGGGACGGTGACTTGCGCAGGGGTTTATAGTGCCGGTAGACTTGCTCTGCATCTACCTACACTCTCTCCTCCTCCCCCGCCTGAGCCCGGTGTAAAGACAGAGTCAAGATGACCGGAGACGAGGGAGGCCGCAGGTGGATGGCTCGGACGGATCCTCACCTTGGCGTTCCACCACACCCCCTGGTCGACACAACAAATAACCAGGATTTCAATCAACACAAGAGAGATTTTGAGGCTGGCACGGCCGACGGATCCCACACTGTGGTAGGAGTGCCATAAAGGCCACATTAAGAAGGAGCCATTGCAGCCTGACTCTCAGACCGCCTCCAGTTAAGGAGGAGGACCAAGTTACCCCGTCAGTTGGCAACCTTCCAGGCCACGGCTTTTAGCGCACCGTGATAGCTTCAAGCGCGTCAGATTGTTTATAGTGAGGAGAAAGTGCGCTGAGTCGTCGACCTCACTCTCCCTTCCCATTCCCACACCCCAGCCACTGTCCGAGCCGGTCGGCAAACTGGAGTGGGGAACGAGCGCGGTGGGTGCCACGGTCGGCTGACCATGACTGCGCGCGCCACAGCACGACCTGGCCCCCCATACACACACAAACACCAGGATTTCACACAACGGGGGTAGAACGGCGTGTCTCTCACTTGCGTGAGAGGGCCGTGGAAGGTGCTGCTTCAGCCCGTCCCCAGCCCACCAGTCCGCCACTACACGCAACGCGACGAACTGCGTGAACCGAGAACGGGCGTCGATCAGCAACCTTCCTATCGACGACACTTGAAGTGTCGGGATAGTCTCGGACTCAAATCACCCGTGCAGCCAAAGCCGCATGGGGACCGAGTCGAGATGCACATTTCACACTTGCGTGGAAGGTGGCAGTTGGTGCATGCGGTGGGTGGGTGTTGATGCGTGTTGGTGATGGTGGAGGAGGGTAGGGAGTGTGTGGATGTGTGGTGTAACCGGCGGTTGTCTACCGCAGGTCGTCGTGGATGAGCATGTGGCCGAATTGGCCCATGCGGTGCCCGAAAGTGCGAGGGCAGTGTGGGCAGTTGAGTCGAGCTTGGTGGGTGTAGGTTGGTGCGACAGGCACTGGTTTGCCAGTCTCTGTGCGATGAATTCGCAACTGACCGACCAGGCCGATGCGGGAAGTGAAGGTGCGATCGCAGTGAGGGCAGGTGTAGTCCTGATTCTCATAGGTGGAGTCGGGAGAGGCGGGGGTGGTGCCGGTTGTTGTGTCGCGGTTGTTGATGTGCGAGACGGCTGCCTGAGCGGCCGCCGTTAAGCAGTGGTGATGCAGAAGATTGCCAGAGTAAGTTGGCGGCAGAGAGGACGAGGATGAGGCGGGCGGGGGGATGAAGTTTGGTGCAGTTCGAGAGTTACAGTTGATCCGAAGATGTCCAACAAGGCCGATTCGAGCCCAGAATGTCTGCTGACATCGCGGACACGTTGGAAGAGGTTGTGCGGCGGCGTTACTGACTGGGCGCAGTTGGGATTTGCGGGCTTCGCGTTTCGTATTGGCGGCGGTGATGCGGTTGGCTTCGTAGATCGCAGCGCCCGTCTTCACTGTCCTCCTCCAGGTTGGACGATCGCGGGCGAGCACTTCCCAGTTGGCCGTGTTGATTTGCAGTAGCTTAAGGGAGGACTTCAGGGTATCCTTGTCTCGACGAATTGGGCCTCCATGAAGACGAGAACCCGTCGCGACGTCTCCGTAGAAGAGTCGTTTTGGTAGTCGCTCGTCGTCCATGCGCACCAGGTGGCCGCTCCAGCGCAGCTGCATTTGTCTCAACATGGAGTAGATGCTGAGCATTCCCGTTCGTTCCAGCGCATGAGTGTCGGGGATGCGATCCTGCCAGTTCAGCCGCAGGATGCGACGAAGACAGCTGAGGTGGAAGTGGTTCAGACGGCGTGCCCGCCTCGTGTACACCGTCCAGGTGTCTGCTCCATAAAGTAACGTCGGCAGGATAACGGCCTTGTACATCTTCCACTTCGTGCTCAGCTGAAGTCCGTGGCGATTGCAAACTGTGCTTTGGAGGCGACCGAAGGCTTGACTGGCTTTCGAGATCCTGTTGGCGACTTCGTCGTCAATCTTGGTGTTGCGGGAGAGGGTACTGCCCAGGTACGGGAAGTTCTCCACCACTTGCAGTTGGGTTCCGTTCACGCTGATTTGGGGCGGCGCGTTGGGTGCTGTGACTGAGTTGGGTGGCGGTTGGTGCATCACCACCGTCTTCTGCCTTTTAATGACCAGCACAAAGTTCTCGCAGGCGGCTGTGAATAGGTCCATGCTGCGTTGCATCTCGTCTTCCGAGGTGGTGTTCAGGGCGCAGTCGTCGACGAAGAGAAGTTCGTGGACGGTGGTTGTGGATGCGCGCGATTGCAAGTTTATGCGCCCTTGATTCAGCAGACGACCGTCCGTTCTGTAGGCGATGCGGATCCCGGGGCGTTTGTCGCGGTAGGCGTCCATCAGCATGGCAGAGCACATAAGTCTGAAGAGGGTTGGCTCCAGCACGCATCCCTGCTTCAGTCCTGAAGTTGACGGGCGGCGAAGATCATATCCGTGGTCCCACGATGGCGACGGAAGCCTCATTGGCTTTCCGGCAGTAGACCCTATTCGAGATGGTTATTGAGGCGGTTGAGAAGGATGCGAGCGAAGATCTTTCTGGCGATGTTCAGCAAGGAGATACCGCGGTGATTGTTGCAGATTTGGCGATTCCCTTTTCGCTTGTATTGCTGCACGATTGTGGCGTCCTTGAAGTCTTGCGGGACATCGCCTTGACGCCACATTTCCTGGAAGAGCGCAGTCAGGTGATCCATCAGTTGGGGACCTCCGTGCTTGTAGACATTAGCAGGGATTGCGTCCGATCCTGATAGTTTCCCGGAGAGGTGGTGGGAGGTCTAGGTCCGCGTTGGTCTCCACTTGCGGCAAGCGGGCGATGGCGGCGTCGGAGATGACGGATGGGCGGTTGAGGACGCCTCGGAAATGCTCGGCCCATCGCTGTAGGATTTGCGTCTTCTCAGTCAGGAGAGTGCTGCCGTCGGCGCTGAGGAGAGGAGCAGTGTCCTTCGTCGGCGGACCGTAGACAGCCTTGATCGCGGAGAAGAAGTTCTTCCATTCGTTGCGGTCCGCGTAGCCTTGGATCTCCTCAGCTTTGCGAGCAGTCCAGGCGTCCTGCATCTCGCGCAGTCGTTGCTGAAGCTGTCGGCGACCACGGTAGAAGGCATCTTTGTTGTCCTCAGTGGGGTGATCTACGTAGGCTTTGTGTAGGCGGTTCTTCTCAACAAGCAGATTTCTGATGGCAGCGTCTTTGTCGTCGAACCAGTCCTGGTGTTGACGGGGAGCGCGACCGAGGACGGCGAGCGCCGTCGACTGGACCGTGTCTCGCAGTTGACACCAGCGGTTCTCCACGGAGGCGTTCTCGGCAGCGGCGGCATCGGCGATGGGGAGGTTGTTTAGCCGTTGAGCTAGCTCATTGCTGAAATGAAGATGATGAGCGGACAAAGACAAAAAGGCAACATTCAGCTTACCTGGGTGTCGCTTACCTTGTGGTCTCCTGCGAGGCTGTAGGCGAATACGCATCTTCGAGATGACGAGGCGATGGTCGGTCCACCCGTCAGCACCCGCGATCGCCTTTGTCACCAGCACGTCCCGCTGGTCACGCCTTCGGACGAGGACATAGTCCAGCAGGTGCCACTGACGCGACCGAGGATGCCTCCAGGTGGCCTTCTCTCGCTCCGGCAGACAGAAGAAGGTGTTCGTCAGGATGAGGCGGTGTTCTGCGCAGGTGCGGAGAAGCAGCAGGCCGTTGTCGTTGGAGCCGCGGAGACCGTGAGGACCCAGCACTCCCCTCCAGGCATTATGGTCTGTTCCGACGCGGGCGTTGAAGTCACCAAGGACAATCAACTTGTCCGTCTTCGACACCGTCGCCAGGAGGGCATGCAGATTCTCGTACAATTTGTCTCTTGGGGCGGTGTCGGGGCTGCTCATCGGCGGAGCGTAGGCGCTGATGATGGTGGCGAATTTGCCCCTCCGCCGGAGCGGCAGACGGAGGCTCATGAGGCGATAGTTGATTCCCTGCGGCAGACAGGGCAGTCGTCCCACGATGTCGTTCTGGATGGCGAAGGCGACACCCGCGTCTCGTCGCTCTGCCTTGGGTCGACCACTCCAGAATAAGGTGTAACCGGCTCCCACCTCTTCCAGTTGGCCTTGTTCGGAGAAACGGGTCTCGCTGAGTGCGGCGATGTCCACCTTGTAGGGCGCCAGTTCTCGTGCCACTAGCGCCGTCCTCCGTTCCGGTCGGTTGCTCCTCGGATTGTCTAAAAGGGAACGAACATTCCAGGCTGCCAGAGTGAGCGGACTCACCCTGTCAGTCTGGTGACAACGAGTGGGGCGACGGGGAGGAGATGGAGAAGAAGGTGACGAAGGAGAAGAATAGGCAAAAGAATGGACGGATGTAGAGTAAGAAGAGGTAGGATGAGGAGAATGAGTATGGTTATTGTTGTTGTTGTTATTATTGGTATTGTTGTTGTTTCGATTTTGAGTGTTTCGACCGTGTGATGACATCTGCGGCCCTGGCTAGCCTGGAGACGGCGTGGTACCCAGCAATGTTTATGCCACCTTTTCTAGGCCCTTCCCCTCCTGGGGGCTGTCAGTGCCATCCCTGAATAGGGCTGCCATGTGCCGTTGTGGCACGGCCGATCTCCACTATTGGACCACGATTTCGGGTTGTAGTGGCGAGCGACTCGAATTCGCCGTAAGCCACGGTCTCCGACGGCGTAGGTGGGCGCGTCAAGGCGATGTCGATGTGGAGATCCATCGCGTCGCGGGCTGTCCAGCGGCGTGGAGATTCGAACCACGTCACGACGGTGCCGACGCAAGGTTCCATCCGACCTTCCATCAAGCGGAATCCGCAAACCCTGTACACACGGCACAGCGCACAGGGCCCCCTCACCTGGTTTAGCCCGCCGGTCAAGACGGTTGCCCGGGGTGTGACCGCTGAGCAGAGCCCAGCTACGTGAGAGTTGGGTGCAAGCAAATGGACTACTATAAATAGCTCAAGAAATGCCTGCGGCCACTACTGGAAAACTTCGATTTTGTAAAGTGTAATAAATCGAACGAGAATAAAGAACCGGAACACGACAACTTCCCGGAGCTCGTGTGCTCTCAGAGTGTGGAGGCCGTGATGCGTTTGGCAAAGATCCGGGTTCTTGAAAGACCACGCTTCTGTTCCTATGTCACCTGTTTTAAATCTCCTACGTGCTACAGAACCACGTGGGCTTGATTGGATTATAGCCGAACTAATCGTCTTAGTCTTCCTGTACCTTCTCAGTGCATGAATGATTTCCTTTGGACAGGAACGTGAGTCTTTCGTAAGCCACGGCTTACCATCGTATCCTGAGTGCACGCAATTTCTCCAAGATCGGTCCCGCGTGCCCTAATTTTCATAACGTGCTGATTTTCCAAGGGAGTGGATTCCTGTCTGCGTGCTTTCTGTGCTTTGTTCTGGAGTTTCAGTCAGGTCCTGTGAAGTCCGTAGCTTTTTTAGCCGACCACCGTGTATGCTGCCCTTATGATCCCTTAAAAAAACTTGACTTTCTAACACATGGCGTATGTGGATCTTCTGAGCGCGAACGGGGTTCCGCAACGGATGTTGTAATAATACCCTATGTCTGTTTGCCGTCCACATTCACAGCCTCTCACCACGGAATCCTTACGTGACAGTTGCATTTAGTGTGAGTAATGTAAAATTACCCTTGTACATATACCATATACCGTCATCTGTATTCTAAGTTCAGTGTTGGGATTACAGTAAGGATAGGTGTTCCTTTTTAATTTCCTTAGAAATTAACTGCGAACTTGGAGTAGATCAGTATACTGAAGATCTGTAAGCTCAGACCAAAGATTTTGGGTATGAATATTTAGGCCGATGTCCATTAGTTCTACCGGATAATCACGTAATCATAATTAACTACCGACAGACGGTTAGTAGTAGACTTTAATGTAAGGTGATTCCATACTAACAGCAAAGGCAGCAGCCATAAGCACATACACGCGTGTTTCGCCGATAGTCTGCCGTTGCATTTGGCCACTACCTGTGCTGTTAATATGGAATGCCCTTACCCTGAAGTCACGATAGTGATCCTTTCTTTATGCATCGGCAGGCCTAGAGTACATTATGCACCTTTAGCTTATTCACACCTCCTCCTCCTGCCCTGGATGCAGGGAAAATAACTACTTGAGAATAACAGGAAGGTTACTTCGGACATCGATGGCCAGACACACGGTAGCAGTGCGATTATGTGTCAACTTTCAAGTCGCGGCACACTCGCGAGCGACCCGGCCAATCAGTCAATATCGACGATGTCAAAATTCTCGTGATGACGACCACGTGAGCCGCGAGCTGCTCGGATCAAGAATTTCCGGTCGCTGCCTATCAGCAAGCGCGATGTTCTTCCCTCTCAGGACTTAACGCTATTACCTTGCCTGCGCAGAGGGATGCGCGGGTGAACCCAGCCTTCAGCGAGTCAAATGGCCTATCACCTAACACTAGGATGAACTCGAGGTCAATAACGACTTGGGTGTGTGCAGTGAAGCTATCTTTACAGTTCGTAGAGGCATATGCGATGAACGTGGAGGCTGCAAAGTTTAACGATTGGGCGGTTGCGTTAGCAAATGGGTTGCATGAGTTGTTTACTATATGTGCAGCCGCCAGCCTTACCCGCTGTTGTCCAGGTCTGTAGGTCAGGATAAATACAGTAGATTTTCTGTCTCATAAAATCCTAAGCGAAATTGTGTGGTGTGGTAGGTAGGCGCTCACCGATTGTCCTTACGGAAGTCCGCCGTCCCGTTGGGCTTTGGGGCTCTCTCTGGAGCCAAACCACCAGCCGCACAGCGGCGCGTAATATAGGCAGAATAACATTACCGACAAAGACAAAGGAGAGTGGGGCGGCTATTTCTGGCCTTTTAGCCGTTGTAAGCCAGTCATAACCAATCCTGAAGTGTGGAACACCTGGGGCTCCATCTCGCGACCTGTTGGTTAGGTGTCCAACGCCCCTAAACACTGAACCACAGGTTCGTTTTCCTGTAGATCGCGATCAGGAAGTGTGCTTTCGATTCGTAAAGATTATCTAAGTAGAGTTGTAAAATTACTCATCGTGCAACACAACCACAAAATAGTTGGTTGGATGCCGACTTTTAAATGGGCTTCTTCCGGGCCGCCTGCGAGCACTAAGCTTTGTGAAAATGACCACTTGAGTAGCATAGAGTTCTGCAACTAATTTTTTATGCCCATATAGATTTAATCTTTGTTTTATAGAAAACGCATACAATGATATTCTCTCTTGTACTCGTTTGTTGAAAAATCACGTTTTTAATTCTTCTTTTACTTAAAGAGTGCACCTTTCGGCTCTTAAAATTTTTTTTTCGATTCTTGCCGTTACGCTTGTGTTCGGAATTTCTAGACTACACGCAGTATACATTCTGTCAAAAGAATATTGCACATTTCTCTACATTGCCAAGAAGACATCACGGAGCACTCAACCGATTGTGCTGTGGATGTGAACTAGGCTGTGTACTTTATAAATAGCATT